TTCAAATGGAAAGAATGAAAGTATGTGGTTATTAAGTGCCTGGTACATATAATGTACAATTTTTAGTATATAAATGTGTGATTCAGTTAAACTTTTAGGTAAGCTACCATTTCCATTTTTCCAATAAGGAAAAACATTCAGAAAGCTTGTAATTTCTGGAAATATTGTCTCTAGACAGCATCAGTTGAAGAATTAGATTTGGGTTTTTAAATCTCCAAATAGAAAAACTGCAAAACTTGACATACATTTTGAAAGAGTATTTTAGCTGACTCTTAAAAATAATTATTGCCGGACGGGTGTGGTGGCGCATGCCTTTAATCCAGTACTCAGGAGGCAGAGTCAGGAAGATCTCTGGTCTACATAGTGAGCTCCAGGACAGCTGGGGCTACAGGGAGACCCTGTCTCAAAAAGACCAAAAAAAAATTTATTGCCAACAGGAGTTGTAAGAAAAACAGGTAAGTCCCATGCTCCTTCTGCCTGGTTCCCACATGATTATATCCTGCAACTATAATATAAACCAACAAAGATATATAAAGATAAGGTCAAAATACAGAATGTTCCATCACCACAAAGAAGCATCATACTGCAACTGTATACACCCTCACCATTGGCCTCCACCATACCCACACTCCTGGTAAATAAGACTGGAGTGGTCCAGTCTTTATTTCTCAACTTGTCACTTCAAAACTAACATATAAAAGGAATTAGGGACCATGCTGTCTCCTGGGATTAATGTTCTTCACACAGTATATTCCCATGGAGATTCATCAAACTGTTACATGAGTATCAGGACTTTATCCTACTTCAAACTTGAGGAATATTCTAAGGTAAGGGGTGTAATGACACTTTGGAGGGCAGCAATGACAGTGCTGTTGCCACATTTTTATTTCATCCATCCAGTTACAGTTTTCATTTTGCATTTCCCCGATGACTAATATGCTTTAAGTATTTTCGTGTACTTATTTGCTGCAGTCATGGTCTCTTAGTTATCCTTTGTCTTTGAGTGACCTGAAGGACATTTTCATTGAATGCAACATTTTACAGTGACAGTTCTTTTAAAACTTGAATGACTCCAAGCCACCTCTATGTGGTCTCCTCTGTTTCTGATGAGGGCTACCCTGTCCTTGTTATGCAAGTATGATTTTCTTCTAGATTCTGTCAATTTTTCCCCTATTTTTCCATGAGTTTGTATAAGCCATGACTGGAGAGGAATATCTTCACATTTATGCTCTTTGTGGTTCACTGAGCTTAACTGTAAATTGCCCTTTTAAATACATGTGGGGAGTTTTTACATATTAAAAAAGTAGTATTACTGAGCCCTATGGACTCTCAACCATTTTATTTGGCCTCCAATAACACAGATGTAGATGTTTTCATATATTTCTTATATTATTATGTAATTCTTAAGACCATCTTTGCTGTTCTGCCTTCAAGTTCACAAATTCTTTCCTCTGTCTCTAGATATTTGTCAAAATCAAGTGAACTTAGGTGTATCTCCATGCCATTTATTTATTTATTTTGCTTTTTCTCTCTATGCCTATCTGTTGGTATTTTCCTGATGCTAGTATCTTCAATTCTAGAATTTACATATCCTAAATAAGCGAAAAATAAGATCTGAATAATTTGATTCCCGAGTTGTGCTAGTATATAACCATCTTTTTATACTTTCAGGTTTATTCATGTTTGTTTTAAACATGATAAAAATTTTAGTTGCATTTAGTGAAAATATAAATTGATATAATATTTCTAATGCACCATTTGGCAGAGTTTGCATAAATTTTATTTTAATGAATTTTCTTTGAACAGGCCATTTTACTTCCAGGAATTTAAACTGTTTTAAAAGTCCAAAGATATATGAGCATATGGACACTTGATGCAGTATTGGTTGAGTATCTAAAAACAAAAATTAACACATTTTAAAAGTCATTATGTTAACTTAATTATGATATAGTTGCCCAATAAATTTTCTGTAAAGAAAAAGTTGTGGTATATTTTAGGTAAATGAATAGGTTTCAAAGTGTATGTTTATAAGTAGTTTAAGTCCAGGTTACCTTGTAGTGAATACTTATAGATATACAAGTGTAAAGACTCAATAAAATAATTGAACATTATCATATCAAACCTATCACATTACTTTAAACAAAAAACTATCATACCAATAAATTTTCTGTAAAGAAAAAGTTGTGGTATATTTTAGGTAAATGAATAGGTTTCAAAGTGTATGTTTATAAGTAGTTTAAGTCCAGGTTACCTTGTAGTGAATACTTATAGATATACAAGTGTAAAGACTCAATAAAATAATTGAACATTATCATATCAAACCTATCACATTACTTTAAACAAAAAACTATCATAAGTCTTTTCTTTGCACTGTAGTTATTAATAGCTATATTGTTGCAAATTTTTCAACATTTGTGTTTATTTTGGGAGAACATTAGCTAAATAAAGATTGGCTAAAGGAATGTTAAACAAAATATATAAAGAAATATATAAAGAATTCCTAAAATTCAATCGTATAAGCATTGTAAATAATAAAATAGACAAAGACATATGAATACAGAACTTATCAAAATGATGGAAGACAAGAACCATAGGAACAATGCTCAATATAATCTGTACCTAGGGAAGTATAACAAGGTAAACTGGAATATCAGTCCAAAACTGTTAGAACTACAAAACCAAACAACTACCGCCAGAGAGAAGGTGAAGTAAAAAGTACTCTTGTGGAATGCTGGCAGGAATATATAAGGCTGAAACCAGAACAGTTTGATCATTTATTTTAAATTTTAAAATACTATTGCCACATAATACAATAATAACACTGCATGTTATTTGCTGAAAGAAGTTAAAATATTTGCCATTTCAGCCTACACAGAAGTGTTTATAAGTTATTCAATGATAATAACCAAATATAGGATTATTTTTCAGCAGGTAAATTGATAATGAAATTACATATAACCAGACAAAGAAATATTAGTTAACACTATAAAGAAATGAGCTAACAAGACACAGCAAGATGTGGAAGAACATGGATTTCATAATTCTACGTTAAATTAGTCAATTTCAAAATGTGCAGCACTGTGACACACTGTATGATTTCAACTATAGAATACTCTGTAAAAGGCAAAACCATAGAGTCAGTAAAGCATCAGTGGCTTATAAGTTTTTTTAAGGACAAAGGCATATAATCAAGTGAAACACAGGAAAAATTTAAAATAATAAACTTTTCTCTCTAGCACTAAAATGTCAGGCACATTATTATATATCTCCCCAAACCTAGAGAAATATAGCACAGAGAGGTTCTCTAGTGGAAAATATTGTGTTGGATAATGTGTCAATATTGATAAACATCTGTAAAAAACATATCACAATGAAGAAGGATGTTGGTCATAGAAAAGTCTGTGGAGGGAGTGTGGCTTTCTGGAAACTATTTTCTGATTGAAGCCTTCCTACAACTGCTCATCAAAACCTTATAAAGGGTGTGGGGTGCGTGTGTGTGTGTGTGGTGTGTGTGTGCGCACGTGCGCGCACACAAATGTTAAATGCTTTATCAAAGATGTTCCTCAGCACTCAGAACAATGACAAGGTGGTACCTATCCTGGTATATTTATTTTTTCTTTTAGCAAATAAAATAAATAAAAGTTATCATTTTTCCCCTTGACTAAGGAAGATACACTTTCAACAGTTCAGCTTTTCTCATCATGAATTTCTTGGTATACACCCCTCACCCTAGAACTCATCAGCATGATGTGTGCAAGGGGAGGGAAGGACATCCTTGAAGCCACAAGTACAAACACAGGGAAGACCTGATTGTCTTGATCAGCATGGCTGTAATTCCTGTCATGAATGCACTGTTTTCATTGGCCTACTTTTCAAATACCCGAAGTATTGATTATTGCTATTACAACAATTATTTCATTCTATAAACTCAACACAAAGAGATAGAGTGGACCAGAGAAAAACAATCAGAAAATGATCATTATGTCTTCAGAAGCTATGCACTGACCTTTTTTTACTGAGCTTTAAAATTTTCACACTATTTCCGACTCACATCTAGACCCTCTCCCTCCCCAATAGATGTCCCCCAAATCCTGTGCACTCTGACAGACATGCTGAGTCCTAGTCATTCAGATGTTTGTACCCAAATGTCCTTCAGTGCAAATGTGTGCACTTACCTTTGCATGTTCATTTGATGCAAAATAAACTCCACTGTGAGCTAAGTCTCTCAAGAGTTTTATAGGAAACAACACACCTGGTACTAATTTCCTTCCATGCATCCTATATTTTGACTAAGTTTACTCCATTTTCTAATTTGTTCCTACATATTTTTATCTAAGACATTCTGAATCACCTATGATAAAACAAATAATTTGTGATTTTCTATTTTTAATGCAGTAACATAATTTTCAATACAGTATAAATAATCCAATCTCTCCTCCTATCTCCACAGGCCAACAATTCTTTTATCTGTAAGACAGGGAAAACACCGAGTTTACAAATCTGTGAAAATTTATTTGTTGGTGGTGGAGATAGGAGTAGAAAATAGATGTTTCTAACCATGCTAGACAGCATACTTAAGAAATCATCTAACCATAACAAAAGCAAATGTAGCCTGTATCTTCGTGTTACTAGATGACAACAGGGATTAATCCTATCAAAATCTGACATAATATATCTTTTATGTATTTGTTCTGGAAATAAACACATATGATTCACAGGCTGTTTAATTGTTTGATAAGCATTTACTCACAGGAAGACTGGTATTGGCTACCGGGTGGTCTCATAATCATGTGTTTTATTTTTGAATTATTATGATAGCTCAGATCTAGTTATAAGCCAATACCATTCTTCAGCATTTTAAATTATATATAAGCTGATTCAATTATAAACAACATTCATCTTCATCAACTAAGTCTCATCAGTTATTCTATTTATAATAGGCATGTTTTAATATTTCCAAGTACCTTTTAATACAATTGCCCCCTTGTCAAATATTTTACCTCTGCTCTTACTTCATGGATGACTCCATCCTTGCTCTTCTGAGGTTTAGATTCCTCTTGTACATTTCCTGATGTTCCTTCATTTTCATTTTCATGTTGATCACAAATGTCAACCTGAAAAATAAAGATCCCTACTGTAATCACAGGATGAAGCCTAGCTCTAGGTACTGTATGTCATTCATTTATTTTTCTCTAGGACTTTCTTAAATATGAATTTTGGCAAGTTTTTAATTGCTGTTGTAATTGTAATTATTGTAATTGAACCACATGTGATATTCATAGCTGAAAACATTTTGTTAGTCGTTAAGAAAAATCATGAAATACACATAAGTCTCTATTCATCAATTGTAAAATTGACAGTAATTAGCTACTTCCACACATTGTTAAAACATGGATTCGTTGACTTCTACACTAATTTAATGAATCCTAATATTTTAATACTATATGTTCTATAATACCAGCTATGGTTATTTTCTGAAAATGACAAATAGTAAACTGATGGTGAGTGACAAACTTAGGTACTAGATAAATACAGAGATGGCACTTGGGCTACTAAGATATATGCAGAACATCTACAAAAGATACCAATAAATTGCCACAGAAAACTACTGCATAAAAATTTATGAAAGCTAAAAAATCTTGTAAGTGTAGACAGAGATTATTGCCTCACAGCTTTTCTTACATTTGGAAGAATCATAAAATTTGACAAATATATAAAACATGGAGATGCATTTACATATACTATTTTTATGATTGTATCTTCGTAACTCACATAAGTGAATGTTCAAAAATCATTATTAAATTATATAATTTATGTAATCTATGATAAATAAGTATATGAAAGCGAAAACCATAGTGTCTAAATTTAAACATAGCACCTCCATTGGCGTCTTCTCACACACGCACGTGTGTGTGTGTGTGTGTGTAGACCTTTTTGTTTCCCACCATATTCTATACTTAAAAATCCAAAATCCTGCCAAACATTTCCTCCTCAGAGGAAATAAATATGGATGAATACTGGAAATATCTTTTATTACATTTTTTATTGTGTATGTGCCTTTGCAGTGACTAGCTACTTGAGTAAAATGTGTTCATTGGTCTCGTATTCAGCAGCTCCACATACTCAATGCATTTAACTAGTCACCAAGCATCTCACTGTTTTCACCTGCATGCCTCTCTCCACAGCTGACTCACATCAACAAATTTAGGAACCATATTTCTTTATGAACAGAAAGACTCATGATGGTGGCTTTATCACTCTTGAATCTTAATAGTGTGTTTATTTATTTATTTTTTTTGATACAGGGTCTTATGTATCCCAGACTGGACATGACCTCACTGTATAGCCTAGGATGAAGTTAAATTTCTGTCTTCCTGCCTTCTTTTCCTGAGTGATGGGATTATAGGTAGTGTCACCATGCCTGCTTTTCTGTTGTCCTGAGGATCAAACCCAGGGTTTAGTACATGCTAGGCAACCACTCTACCAACTGTGTGGCATCCCCAATCCCTCTAATATCTTCTTGACTGAAGATGCATAACCTTTTGAAATGTAATCAAATTACCTTGGTCAATCCATTTCCTGCAGTGTTTTCCTTGAAGTCAATTTGACACACACATTTTAAATTTAGTTCTTCAGATAAGTACTGAATATAAATTAATTCATGGTAAAAGACCAGATTTTATCAATTTATCAGGCTACAGTATGATTCTTGAATCTTATTAAGGACAAAAAATGTAAGAAATGAATGCAATCCCATATATAGTCAAATGCTGGATCACCTACCAGAAAGGTAAGGGTTCCAAGAAAAGTGACCTCAGAACACACAAAGGCATCATGGCGGGTCATCTCATATCTGATAGATAATAACCCCTCAAATTTAAATGAACATTTTAAAAGTAAGTTTTACCAAATTTTCCCCCTTTACCATAAAAAGTATATTGTTTTTATTGCTTAAAATTGTATTGCTGCCTTTCAGGTCAAAGTGAAAACACTAAACAGCTTACTTTAGTGATCTGTTAAAACCTCCAGGCTCTTCCTGCTGTATCCTTTATATTTTTGCAATTTGTCTTGGAATATTTTATTTAAATTTAAAAATGAAATTTCTACTTAATTTGAAATATTGACATTTTTAAAAGAAATGTTCATGTCACACTTTCCTGACAGCAATGATGTTCAAAACAACCATAGAAATTTGTACTCTCCTCTTCTAAAAAACTATACTGTAGTTGTTTCTTGGAACTTTATTTCAATTTCATTTCCTCTGAATTATCAAATTGCAACATATTTGTATACCTGAAATTATTTGTTGCATAAAGTGAAATAAAATGTCTATGTATAGACACATATTATAAATACACAACTAAATATTAAGGGTTTTTGGATGAAGTAACTCATTGACTAGTATGCTATGTGCTTGCTTAAAAACAGACACCTTAGTGCATTGTTAAGTAGGTAACAAAACAGTATGAACAATTCGCTTACTGGAAATTCATCTGCTAATGAGATGGATGAATAAGTTTTTTTCAATTAATTTGTGTATCCATGGATGAAATTGCTTATAGATAAAATGAGATAAGAATTAACTTCAGCTTTATTTATACTTTTGTTCATGTAGGTAATGAGAAGTTTATTTCATAAGTTATATAAGAATGGAAAATGTTTTGTAAAAGCAAAATCATTGTTTTGTTTACTTTTAATATTCTACTAAAATGACCAAGCCATTTTTCAATGTAATATCAAAATTTCTGATTATCATCTATAGGTAGATGGATCCAGATGGTTTTGTTCTGATATTTTTTTAAACTTAAATTAGAAACTACCTGAGATGTCAAATATTTTGTGACTTATAGATGAGTTTGTTTCTCAATACCAACATTTCAAAATACCTCCTCAGAATTTTTCTGTTCTGACAACATGCTAAAGGAGCTCTGGAGGTTGAGATGGAAGATCATACAGGGAAGGGAACCTTGCTAGAGAACCTCTGCCCTTAAGCAGATTAATTTGTGAAAAACCTTGTATGGAACCTGGGAATCTGGACTTGGAAGTCATTTGACTATTCATGGGGAGAACTGGGGGAAGGAGGCAGTGTACTGTTGGTGGTAATTACCTCCTTTTTTTTTTGGCAAGACTCTCCATGAACAATCGGGTTAACAAAATATAAAACCTACAGGTGTCCACAAAATTATTTGATAAGATTTCCTATGAATCCTAAGCTAAATGTGTGTTAGGAGAAGGCACAGACACTTCAAGAATTGTAGTGAATACAATAGTGTCCATGCGATGCGCTTATTTATCAATCTGTGTAATATGTACACGAGGAGGTCATTAAAAAGACTTCATTGACTGGTACAAAATAGTACTTTGCAACCTGGTATGCAGGAGTAAACTTATAACACCAGCATTCAGATACAGAAGATGAGAATCATGAGCTCAAGTTTGGACCCTGTCTCAAAAGAATTTGTTTTATAACATTCTTGGCAGCTATAATTCTTTCTTTTAAATCTGATCATTTTTTCTTTATCCACTGATTAATGAAGAAACAAGTTCTTCGTTAAACTTAAATGTTATTCATTTCCAATTACTTCAGATACTAAATTGTAATGAAGAAATTTCATTTCTTTGTTACAAGCTCCAAATAAAATCCTTAGCCTTTCAATTGATGTATAACAGCAGAATAGCCCAAAGGACCTTGGACATAAATCAAGACTATTATGCTCTCAATGTGGTCCCATCAAAACTCTCTTACTCATTTGGGCATGTCAGATATTCTAGACTTCCAGCTATTTTAAACTCCATAAATGAGGAAAACAAGTGCCATTTTATTTAAAGAAACTTCCCAGAAATACTGAGAGGTTGAAATTTTGACTGGATAAGAATTAGAAAATCAGAAGAATGAGTCATAACTTAGAAACTAAGTAAAATTTAAAGTTTTGGATGAAATTAAGAGTAATTTAATGATTTCCAAGTAATTTAATGATTTCTTAATATGGTGTTATTTCACTGTAATCCCAGCATTTGATGGAGATATAGGGAGTTGAAGGTCATCTTCAACTGCACAGTGAGTTCTAGGCCATCCTGGACAAAACGAAAACTTAATCAGTAAATCAATATTTAAAGATATCCAAAGAAGTTATCATAGCTTGTGAAGGCATTCACAGCATATTACATATAAAATATATACTACCTAAACACTGACAGTTTTTAAAGTCACATTTAAAGGGAAACACAATGGAAAGCCACACTTCTAATGTGTGATAAATGGTATCAACTCCTACCCAAAATACAGTAATAAGACACAAAGTTTTCCAAAAAGCAAGACAGAAGACAGGAAATAATTTTGAAAACACTGACTGTAGGGCAAACTTTGGAAACCAGCAGCAAATCAAAATAGATGCAAAATGACTCAGATTCTACCCGATGGAGCTTTCAGACTATAGCAAAACAGACAAGCAGGTGTGGTCTATGGGGGGTGATGCATTTACAAAGCAGAAGACCATGAGAGAGAGAGAGAGAGAGAGAGAGAGAGAGAGAGAGAGAGAGAGAGAGAGAGAGAGAAACTCTGAAGCATCAGGATGAACAGGAGGCTGGTAACCAGTTGTATTAACTGCTTTTTCATCATTGTGACCACAGTATGTGCAGTAGTTACTTTTCTGTTGCTGTGACAGAAACACTGACCAAAGAAACTTATAAAAGAAGACTTTATTTAAGCTTACGGTTCCAAAGGGCAAGAGTCCATCACGGCAGGGAGGTGCGGTGGCAGAAATGTCTGGAGGAGTAGAAGCTAAGTTCTCACATTTTCAAGCAGGCACAGGAAGCAAGAGGGCCACTGGAGATCCGGCAAGGCTTAAGAACTCTCTAAGCCCATCCCCAGTTACGTTCTTCCTCCAGGATAGCCACACCTTCTAAGACCTTCCAAAACAGCTCCACCAAATGGGGACAATATGTCCAGATGCTTGGAGTCTATGGGGGACATTCTCATTAAAAACCACCACAGTACATAACAGAAACAACTTAAGGAAAAAGATTTATTTGGGCTTACATTTTCAGAGAATTTCCATTCATCGGGGCTGTGAAGGCAGAGCATCTCAGTGCATGATGACTGGAGCATGTGGTG